GCCTACACGAGATGAGGCAGGATAAAGAGGGATAATCCCCCTCGATCCCAAATCATTGAGGCCAATTTCTAGCCATAGAATAATGGCGCGAGTCGCTAACAAAATGGTGGAAATATGGAAGACGCAGGAAATGTAATTTCTCTACTGATTGCTTAGTATACTGTGGTCAAAACTGAAATTTAGTAAATTTATTAACAAAAACAAAAATAACAATGCTGACGTTGATATTAGATTTATACGAATGATGACGTCACTCAGTTGACAAGTGATTTGATTGGTATACTGTGCCTTATTGTTATTCCAAGAATAGAAGTAGAGGAAGAAGAAGTGCTTCTCGGAGATGTTTTAATTAAGGTTATAATAAGCACACCACAATTTACGTGTTATATTTACATTTTAACGAAAATTGTTGCCATGAGTGGTCTGCAAGAATCTTTGTGTAGACTTTGTCGTACAACTATAACCGATAAATGTTTTGAAGTAATAGACGACGCTACTAAAGACATTCTACATGTTCTTTTGTTGAAATTGGTAAGTGGTGAAGTATCTTAGATTCTACTATCTAACAGATTTACCAATCTATTTTCAGTTTTACTTAATTATTTACTGCCACTTTTATTTTCATTCTGTTTGATCAAACTTGCATACATTTCAGAAATTGGATGGTGAGAGGAAAGAGGTTATATGTAATGCTTGCAGAAGAAAATTAAATACAGCATTGAAATTTAAGTCAACTTGTCTGGATAGCGATAATACAATTATTCCACATGTGGATTGTGAGGGAATGTTACAGCTCGATATAAGAGAAGTGTACTTGAAGGAGAAGGGAAGCAAGACGATGGATATTTCAGATAGTCAGAAAATTTGTCGATTGTGCATGCAGCCAGTAGAAACTGAGTTTAGGTGCATACGTGAAGAGGAATGTGAAGCTATTGAGAAATTAGCTCCACAAATGGTATGAACGACATTAAATAGTTACATTTTTGCAATTTAAAAAAACTACTTTGCAGATTATAAATATTATCAAAGATCCTGTTGTATGTAAGCCTTGCTTTGATTCTCTGTGTACCCACAACAGTTTCCTGGGAGATTGCTTAGAAACAGAGGGAAAAATTAGTGAAGCCAAAGACAGTCAAATAGAAACATCGCCATCTTTATTCATTAAAACTGAAAACTTATATAAAAAATTCGATATTAACAAAAGGGAATTGTCAATTAAAGATGAATCTGTTGATATAAAATCAGAAGATGAAGAAAGCAGGTATGAAAAAACGTTTTTTATGTTATTTTTATGCAATTAAATCAGTGTATGAATATATCGTTAAACCATCAACACACATTATTGACTTGCGTTGGCAAATTGAAAATTTGTCAGAAAATTCGGAAATTGAGAATATTTTCCCTGTTATCTATTTCATCCCGAAATATTCCTAATTGCGAAATTTTCTTGTGCTCTTTTCAGTTACAGTTTTGTAGTATAAGTGGTTCCAGAGTAGTACAAAAGTAATGTAATGGTAACGAAATATTTTTGTGAGGTAAAGTAAAATTAATTTTTTACTCTAATAGTCTTCACTCACACTTTACTCTCATATTATTTATAATCGTACACCACACATACAAGTATGTGTAGGTGTATGTGTGGTGTTATAATTATAAATAATTATTTTTCAACACCAGAACATTACTCTAGTTTTTTTTTTAAATATAAAATGTTTTATTAATTAATTTTTTGTTTAATAAACCATGTATAAGTTGCTGTCGAAATTCTTAATTAGTAATTAAATTAGCCATGTTTTAATCTCGGCTATCTTGAGTAACAGTTTTAATAAAATTTTGTAAGGAACACTTCAAATCGTTAATAACGAAGAAACTTTCATTAATCCCCCTGCTTCACATTTAAATAGCAAACATTCAAAAATGATAACTATATTGAAACCAACGGATTTTGTGTTTCCTATACCCGCCAAAAGCCTCAACTATGAACATTTGAGAATACACCTACAATTGTTAACAGAAACAGAAACATCAAATACTATTAGCAAATAGCGTTGTGTAATTTTAAACTATTTAACATTAAATCAGTTATTGTGTTAGTACTTGTGTATAGTTCACATTATTACCTATCTTATTAATTGCTAACATATTTGTAATATTGCTCTGACTTTATCATCATCAAAAATTTGATGTATATGATAATAAAAATGAATTAATGCCTTGTGAAGTTAAGAAATTTATGATTGTATTTGACATACCTATAGTCCTTTAAAATTAAAATCTCGCTTTAAAAAATACACTATATATGCAATTTTTTCAGCGATGCGCTGCCGCAGAGCTCTGATAATGGACCATCCAAGAATCCTGATTGTAAAGATGTAGAAGAGGATGTGTGTAAACACGAGATTGGATCAGAAAGGGAATCTGAGCAGGAGCACAAAGTATTGTATAAATGTGATAAATGTATTTACGAAACTGAAAGCACGACCTGTTTTGCGGGGCACTGTGTGAAACATGAGAACGATTCGGTAGTGTATAGATGTGATTGGAATAAGTATGAAACTGGGAAAAAGGAATTACTTCAGAAGGATCTATTGGAGCATCAAGCTTCTTCACAGGTCCAGATGTACAGATGTAAAGACTGTGATTATGAAACTAGACACAAATATAATATCAAACAGCATCAACTGAAACATAAGGATCCTTCACAGATTCAAATGTACAGCTGTAAAGACTGCGATTACGAAACAAAATACAGGAGATCTATCAAACGGCACCAACTGAAACATACAGATTCTTCGCAGGCTCAAATGTACAGATGTAACAACTGCGATTTCCAAACTAAATACAAAGAATATATCAAACAGCATCAACTGAAACATAAAGATCCTTCGCAGGTTCAAATGTACAGATGTAACAACTGCGATTTCCAAACTAAATACAAAGAATATATCAAACAGCATCAACTGAAACATAAAGATCCATCTCAGGTTCAAATGTACAGGTGTAACAACTGCAATTACAAAACCAAATACAAGACTAATATCAGAAGGCACCAACTGGAACATAAAGATCCTTTGCTGGTTGAAATGTACAGGTGTAGCAACTGCAATTATGAAACTAAATACAAAAAATATTTCAAACGGCATCAGTTGAAACATAAAGATCCTTCAGAGGTTCAAATGTACAGATGTAAAGACTGCGATTACGAAACTAAGTTCAAGGATAGTATTAAAACGCACCAACTGAAACATAAAGATTCTTCGCAGGTGCAAATGTACAGGTGTAACGACTGCAATTATGAAACTAAATACAAAAAATATTTCAAACAGCACCAACTGATACATAAAGATTCTTCGCAGGTTCAAATGTACAGGTGTAACGACTGCGATTATAAAACTAAATACAAGAATGCTTTAAAACAGCATGGACTGAAACATAAAGACTCTTCAGAGGTTCAAATGTACAGGTGTAATGACTGCAATTACAAAACTAAATACCAGAGTACTATCAAACGGCATCAGCTGAAACATAAAGATCCTTCTCAAATTCAAATATACAAGTGTAACGAATGCAATTACGAAACAATACATAGGAGTTATATCAAAAAGCACCAACTGAAACATAAAGATCCTTCGCAGATTCAAATGTACCAATGTCACAACTGCGATTACAAAACTATAAATGAAAATACTATGAAACAGCATCAATTGAAACATAAAGATCCTTCTCAAGTTCAAATGTACGGATGTAATGACTGCAATTACAAATCTAAATACAAGCAACATATCAAACGGCACCAACTAATACATAAAGATTCTTCACAGGTTGAAATGTACAAGTGTAGTGACTGCGATTATGAAACGAAATATAAAAAAGATATTAAAAATCACGTTTTGAAACATAAGAGGCCTTCACAAGTTTGGATCTAGTATTTGTGATTATGAATCGAAGTTGAAATGTATATGTGTATGACTACAATTTCTAAACTAAATACTGGGGTTATTTCAATCAGCACCAACTGAAGCATAAAGAGCCTTTGCAGATTCAAATATACAGTGTAGTCACTGGTTATGAATCCATATATCATTAAATATCACGTCCTTCTTAAATGCAAATGCACTGTGATTTGCTAACAAGCAGGTGTAAGGAATCGTTAGGAGACCTCAATTGATGCACGGATAAAGTCTGCATGTGTGAATTACTGTCCACCAAAGTACAAAATATGGTCAAAAATGGAGGCATTTAAGAGATACCAGGAAGGCCTACCTTGAAAAACATGGGTTGAAAGTCGAAAATTTGTCTTTATATTCAAAATTAATTACATTTCTAGTAATATTAGATTTTGAAATTAATATTTAATTTAATAAAGTGCCAAATAAATTCAAAAGGCGAGTGAAAAATCGATTGCTGGCTTGTCCTTGTCCCAGCATTTCATTCCTATTAATCTTAATGTCTCGCCCAGCAATTTGAAGAAACCCAACAATAGGTACAACGCCATTCTTTGTAGTTATTTTAGCAGTTTAGTAATATAGCAGTTATGACCAGTGCAAAAAATTAATTACCGCTCTACTCTTGAATGAAATTTTGAAATAAAAGTACTGGTCAAAAATCGACACTCCACCATTTTATGATATGTGATAAGGAACCTTTCATGAAACAAAATAAATTTTTTTAAAATAAAAATCTTGTATTTAGATTCATATTTATTTACATGCGATAAAAAACAAACTTAAAAATAAATACACAACAACCGAAAAATCACAAAAATAAAATAAGTCTATAATATAATATCTATCTTTTATATAACAAATATATAAATAAAATTAAAGTAAAACCCTACGAGCTTTTTTAGAAGCAAAATCGTCTATTATATTTGATATGTCTAAGTTTTGACAAATTTCATGTTCAATTGAAATAGTGGCAAGGTTTGTCAATCTTTCTTGGGACATAGTAGACCGTAAGAAATTTTTAATGAGTCAATTTACTAAAACTCCTTTTCCCGGAGGCGACGGTCACAGGTAATGTAAGAAATATTCTTAGAGCTACGGCTAAATTAGGAATACAAGAGGTAAGTTCATTGGTGATTATACAGGGTGTTTGGAAAAGTTGGTACAAAATTTAAGGAGGTGGAAGTAGAGCCGAAAATAGTAAAATAAGTTCCTATAAACATTGGTCCTCCGGAGCACCGTTACCGAGATATGACCCTCCAAAAGGGTCTTATCTTTTGGATATTTTTTAAAATAACTTTCTGATTAAGATAATGGAATGAAAATTGTAGGTAATAATCATACTATAAGGGTCTTTAACTATCATAAGTTTCATCAAAATCTTTTATAAATAAGAATAGTTTTCTAACTACCCTTAACAGAAATTTTTTGATTTTTTTTCAAATTCAAAACCACATTTGCTCAGAAAGGAATGAGGATTTCAAAAATGATTTTTACTTTACGAAAAAGCAGTGGCGCAACATGTTTTTCTTCAAAAATATTCAATACGAAACCTGTACAGACGCCACTGGCGACAATAATAAAATTGTTTGTACATCAGAAAATGCATCTCGATGAATAGAAGGTGTGTACCAAATTTGAAAAAATATCGAAGGTAATACCAAAGTTATCATAAAAAAATGTTTTTTCATAAAACTTTAGCATCCTGTAGTTCAAAAGTTAAGACTTTTAGACATGTGTTCATATGAAGTTTTTTTCTTAAAAAAAAAAATTTCTTTAAATATTAGCACGTTATTAAGAAACATCCTGTAAGTGATAAAGTGTGATATCTACCTCATGGGCATAATGTAGGTGTAAGTGGGTGGTGGTGGGCCATCGCCACTCAACAATTGTGGAAAAGATGACGGGTGAATCTGTAATCTTTTATAATTTTCTGTTCTCTTTGACCCCTTCTCAAGTAGTACGCCTATAGAGTTTTGTCCCTTGCACCCCTCGTCTCCCTTACTCGTCTTTGTGCTGGATATGAATCACTGCCTTTTTTTATGGTACTCGGGATAGTAAATTTGCTCATTTGTAAAATTTGGTCACATATTTGAATTTCTAAAAATTATCAGTTTTATAGAAACTTTTTTGACCCGATATTTTTTTCGTTAAACGCAGTGTTTTCGGGAAAAATGGCAAAATGCGATCGAATCCATATCGCGCCATTATTCCATGGCTATAAATTGGCCTCAATGATTTGGGATCGAGGGGGATTATCCCTCTTTATCCTGCCTCATCTCGTGTAGGCCTGGACAGCCATCGTAGGTGGGAAAATCCATATCGTGATTGTGATGAAAACTTATGACAACACAATTTTAAATATTTTTTGGGGTTTTAAAACCAACAATTAGGTACCTAAATTAGGGGTAAAGGGTGAACATCCTTCCGCGGCAAACATTTTTAAAATATCAAATTGAACGCAGGATTTTATCTTCTCTTTTTTCAACCGCCATTATTCTATGGCTAGAAATTGGCCTCAATGATTTGGGATCGAGGGGGATTATCCCTCTTTATCCTGCCTCATCTCGTGTAGGCCTGGACAGCCTTCGTAGGTGGGCCCCATCCGTCGTCTACCCCGACCGCAAATGCGGCCGGTGTAGGCGCTTTGTGGGACCTCCTTTTGTCCTGGCTGGGCCCCGCCGGCTAGGGCCCTTTCTTCTGGCGCTCTTCTTGCTTCGCCGGCTCGTCTGTGTAAACCCCGGGGGTAGTGTCATGTTTATG